TCAATTATAATTAAAAGAATATAAAAAAAATTAAGAATGTTAAAGCCCGGTGCTACGCACCGGGTTAGAGACTAGTCGTAGATATAAAGAACAAGTCAAAATCACAAGGAATCTTCAAAGTGGTAATGCTGGTTCTCTCAATATGAAAATCCTAGCTCCGGAACCAACTATAGAGGAACCTACAAAGAGAGAAATTCTTTCAGAATCAACAGATAGCCCTCTAAATGAAGAGGAGAAGATCACTATTGCTTCGTTAAAAAGTGTGATTAAAGACTTGGTTGAATCATCAGTGACATTCTTTTCTACAGAGAAAAAAGATTTCCCTAAAGAGCAAGACACGGTAATGGACAAAGACTCTGACTCTTCAGATTTTGTCTATATATAGTCTTCAGAACTAAACTTCATAGAGTCCCCAGGATTTGGTTGTTCCAAAAGATGAGCTTATACTAAATAATCCCGTTCAAGCCTATAAAGATCAAGAAAAATCCTCCAAGCCTCTTGACAACGAGTCAATGAAGGCTGATGAAGAGGGCTTTATTTCAGTGATGAATAAGAAGAAACAAAAAAAGATTGTTAACAACAAAACCAGACAAGTTTACATAAAAACTTTTTCATACAAAAGGGCTAAAGGGGAACATTCATCCCCACTTAATTAAAATAGTTTATGACAGTAAACAAAAAGGTTTACATAGCAACCCTTAATGTAAAAAGGTTAAACAATTAAGAAAAACAACAGAAAACTTTAACTTTACTAAAATCATATAAATTAGACATAATTTTTTTACAAGAAACAAATATAGAGAATCAAAATACAAGAGATTTCCTTAAAAAACAATGGCTATTTAATTCAGTTTAGGCTGATAAAACGGCTATATTAGCTAGCAAGAAAGATATAAAGCTTTTAAACCCTCAGATATCTCATGAAGAGAGAGTCATATTAACAAAAATTGCTTATAAGAATCACCTCTTTCAAGTCACCAATGTTTATGCTCCTCCAAATAGTAAGGACAGAAGTGAATTCTTCGAAAGATGGACACCACTTTATGATGAAGAATCAATAAACATATTGGGTGAAGACTTTAACACCAATATAAACCCAGAAACAATCGAGTTAATCAAGCATCGGCACAATCAGATACAACATGCATACAGCTTAAAAGACTTACAAACAATTTTGTTGACTCAGTATCTTTTGAAGGGAACAACCCTTTTCTGACTTTCTTTCAAAACACATGGAACAACCAAACTATAGCAACTAGATTAGACTATATCTTCATCGATGAAAATTATATCTCACTTGTGGAAAAAACAGAACCTTTATTTGGCAACTCGAATCACCTGTTAGTCAAATACATCTTAAATCTTAATGAAAAACTGAAGAATCCAACATCTTGGAGATTCGACAAACACTGTTTCAAAAATAAACTCATAGAAAGCAGAAATCCAATTTTTTAACTCAGTAGAAGACTGGAACTGGCACAAAATATGCATTCAATCAATCATAAGAGCTTGCAAAAAATCCAAAGCCCCGGAAAGTAGTTTGGCTTTCCTAAATAGAAAAATAACCAAATCAAAAGAAAAACTAGCGAAGGACCCAAGTCAAATGTAGCTACATACAATGGTTAATAATTTAAATCTTCAAATTTAGGATGAATTGCTACAACTAGCAGACAGATGGCAAACATGCTCTAAGGCTAGTTGGGTAGAGCAGAGAGAAAAGTCGACAAGATATTTCTTCTCAAGATATAAGTCCCGAACTAGTTGCTCAGCACTCAAGGATATTAGAGACCATGAAGTTCCATCTAAGTTTGGTAATGATCAAATTCTGCAGTATATCAAAGAACAATATGCAAAGCTCTACAAGGAAGAAACTATTAATTTAGATGTAGCAATAACTCTGACAAATGACCTTTCTACTATTCCAATCTCAGAAAATGCAAAACTTTTACGAGAAATTACACGAGAAGAAATAGTTAAGACAATTAGAAAACTTCCAAACAACAAATCTTCTGGACTGGATAGTATTACATACGAGTTCTACAAACAAACTGAAAATGACATTGTTCCTGTTTTGGAAACAGTCTATAACCACATCCTTAACTCAGGCCTCTTGCCCAAATCATAGCATAAAAACTTAATTACTCTTATACCAAAAAAAATCAACAGATTTGAAAGACATCAACAACTGGAGACCGATCTCTCTGGTAAACTGTGATGCCAAGATCTTCATGAAGATTATAGCCACTAGATTAAATAAGATTTGCAGCCTGATAATCCCGGCTCACCAACAGGGTTTCATTTCGGGAAGGTCAATAACAGATGCAGCATTGGACGCACTTACAATAATGAGAAATCAGACTGACCTCACCAAGCAACATTGGCTTTTACTGGTGGACCAACAAAAAGCTTTTGACCGTATTGATCATATCTTCCTACAATTAGTCCTTGAGAAAATGAATTTTAACCTGAAATTTAGAAATTTGGTTGAGAACCTCTTTGCTAACCAAGAGGCTCATATATTCGAATCAGGCTCCTTATCAGAACCTTTTAGAGTAGGAAGAGGGGTAAGACAGGGTGACCCTCTCTCGTCGCTACTATATATTTTGTTTGAACCCTTGCTTCAAGCAATTGATAAAGATATACAAGGCATATCTTTATACAATCAGACATTCAAATCTATAGCCTATGCAGATGATTTGACAATAGAAATAGAAAGTTCATCAGACTTATATGAAAAAGCCTCGAGCGCAAAAATTAATAATCAAAGACAAAAATTGTACCACTTACTATAATGGCAAGAAGAGCCAATCTCCCAGACATAATCGATTTTAAGATTATAGAAGAGATAGACACCTTCAAGCCAAAAAAAGACTTATAGTTCTCTACAATTACCAAACTTAAGGATACACTTTCCAAACTAGCAGCAAGAAATCTCTTCTTTAAAGGTAGAATTTTAATTGCAAAGTCTCTAATACTCTCCCGCATTTGGTACACAGCTTATATTCTCTCTCCAAGGAAAAAACAAATATCAGAGATAAACAACCTGATGTCTTTTTGGATCAAAGGCAATTCCAAGATGCTTCCAAGATACGTGACCTACCAGCTCTTTTACAAAAAAGGTAGTTTTCAAGCCCCAATGGTTGGGAATATGTTAGAAACCAGGATGATCACAATATGGCTAAAGCTGTTAACAGGAGATACTATATGGACAAAGATAGAAAGATTAATGATTACACAATCTTTAAGCAATAAAAGAAATACTACAGTATTACAAGTCTTCACCGAAAATCCAGTAAGATCCAAAGCTTGGCCTTTAGAATGAAAACCTTTTGTGCTAGCCTGGAATAAAGTAGGGGGCTCTGTCTTCTCAGAGAGAATATATACATTAAAGAGAAAAAAAGCAGTGATCTTTGGACTAAAAACCTAGTAAACCTTTTGAGGGATTCTTCCGGCACAATTTCTTCAACCTTTATACTCAAAGAAAATACTCCAATGGACTGGATTACCTGTAGAGATATCGATAATAAAAAGAGAGATATTACATGGAGACTTGCCTATAAAGCCTTGCCACTAGGATACAGGCTTCAATAGATATCTCAGTCAGAGTCGAGAGCCTGTCCTTGGTGTGAGGATAGCATCCAGATCCCAGACACTTTGCTGTAGAATGTAGAGTAAGTAAGTCAATCTGGACAGAAGTCTACAAGTTCTTGAAAACACAAGACAATCCCACAATACCAAATTCTATAAAGGACATATATACAAAAAGAAATATTTCTCAGAAAAAGGTTCCATACAATAGTCCAGTGGCTAAATATAATGGCAGTCTATGAAATTTGGTGCTGGTATACCAATACCAAATGAGATTTCTCTTGAGACCCTACTACTAATAATTGCCAGAATAAAAATTTCTGATCTAAATATGTAAATATCTAATATGTAAATAGAAAATTATTTATTAATATATTACAATAAAAAGATGCCACCAGTGTTCCGGCCACTTTTGTTAGGCTGAAGAAAAAAAAAATTATTTGTTTAATTTGATCTGTGCAGAACATTAAATATAAATATAATATATATCTATAAATTTAAATATTTTATATTTAAAATATATATATATGGCTATATACTCACTATATTGGCAAAAATAGTATTAAAATAAGTAATAGGAGTTTTAAGAAATTTTAATAGCAGAATATAGTAAATTAAAATATATATTTATTATCAAGTTGTCCTCCTATATAATCACCTCCCATATAGTCACAAACTCTATATAATCATACCAAAAATATGATCCTGTTTTTTTAATATTAAAACACCTCTATATAGTTACAATCATATAATCACCATCATATTTTTTAGAATTTGTTAGCCAATTTTAATAATAAAATTACTTCTTCATAATTACATTTATATGGATTATAGATAGTTTCTATATAGAAAAGTTTTGATTTTAATAATTAAATCAACTTTATGCAATAAGTAAAGGTGTTTGGAAGAATAAAATACACCTACTGCTAAATTTTTATACAAATCGGATAATTTTTTATTAGTATTGTTTCTCATTTAGCGTACCTATGAATATATAGTAGCTAGAAAATTACAAATTTTTAGCTATATTCATAGGTACGTAAAATGAGAAATAATACTAATAAAAAATTATTTGATTTGTATAAAAATTTAACAAATTCTTCCAAACAACTTTACTTATTGCTAAAAAATTGATTTAATTATTAAAATTGTGATTTTTCTATATAGAAACTAACTACAAACATATATAAAATTTTTAAAATACCTCTACTAAATCACCTTTTCTATATTATTTATAATTTGTGCTTATATAGAGGTACTTTTATAAAGTCACACTTTTTTATATAATCACCATTTTAGGGTGTGCCCAACTGTGTGATTATAGGGGAAGACGACTGTAACAATAATAATTAATCAATAGTCACATTATTAATTAGAAACCACTTGATAATATGTGGTGGTGCAGTATTATTTACTATTTTATTAAATTTATGAAATTCAGACTTTAAGGTTTAATTTATTACAGTTTTGCATATACTGTAATATGCAGTTTTTTGTAACATAATCATATATAGTAAATAGTAATTATTAATAGTTAATAATTTTAGTTACTTTTTAAAATTCAATTCTAGTGCCTAAAGTTATAAAAATTATAATATATAGTTATTGGATGCTTTGCATCCAATAATAATTTTATTTGGCAGGAGAAATGTGAATACTGTGATCTACAGAATCACGAGATAATCATTTTGGATGACAAAAAAAAAAAGCATCTGGCAGTGAATTTTTATGCATAAGCACCTGGGCCCCAAAAGGGCCCAGGTGTGAATACATAAAAATTCGCTGCCAAATATGATTGTTATTAGTGCGTAGCATCCAATAATGGATTTCTTTTTCTTTTTCTTTAATCAATATAAACAAAAGGTCTGTTTTTAAATTATGTTAAAATATTAATACTTGGTAAGAAAGAATTATATTGACTAATAAGTTTATAGATTAATAAGTTATTATGTATTATGGATATTAATGAGAATTTCTTTGGTTAAACTAGTAGAATTTTATAGAATTATGATAAATTAATTTAACTTATTAATAATGTAATTCTTTTTTTTTTTAAATTCTCCGAACTGCCTAAAGCAGTCAGAACACTAGTGGCATCTTTATTAAGGTCTTATACATATTATAGTGAATTTAAGTTACATATTAAGTACTATGTACATCACCACCAACAGTGGTGTTCCCAGCCCTTAATACCATGTGTTTGGTAAGTCTATATTAGTAGCCTGGGTCCCTGATTCTGCAGTGTAAGACCCCTGTTCTAAGGCCCACAGTTCCCACCTTCAACATGGCCTCATCATTCACCTTTCCTATTTTGCGACTTCACACTTTTTCTAATTTCATACTCAAACTTACAGATCCTATATTCATCTCTTTCCTGCAAACATTTTCCTTTTTCATCTTTGTGTTTTCCAGTTTCAGCTTGTCCAATCTATTTCCATGGCCGGTTTCGGGGTCCAGACCTACTCCATATACTTTTCATATTCACTGGTACTTCCTCTTATAGTTGCACCACTTGAGTCTACTCAGGGTCTGTCCAGTCAGAAAAACAGCACCAGGATGTAGGTGAGATTTTCCGGGTCACGTGACATTCCGATCTCTGACGGTCATGCATTACATAATTGACCAATTAAAATCAATCATACAAAATAATTACAAATTTTAAAAAAATTTG